TTTGATTTTGACGATTTTACGTGCGCTTTGACGGCCCCATAGCATACGACACTCACAGCTATACTGTATATAAGCTTTTGTATAGAGCGTGGTTTGATTTGGGTTGTGTGTGTTTTACGTCCTCANTCCTATAAACAGCTATGGTAATTTAAGGACGTGTCAGGTTTTGGTGGTGGAGGAAAGCCGGAGTTCCCGGAGAAAACCACCGACCTACCAGTACCTGGCGACTGCCCCACGTAGGTCTCGAACCCGCGACCCAGTGGTGGAGGGCTGGTGGTAGCAGAATGTCAGACGCCTTAACCACGTTGTATAACCTTACAGTGCATGTATACCGTCCAATTATATTTATTTGAAAGTCTTGCAGCTGAAACTGCATCAGTCTATAACATGCAGCCGAGTGTTCCGACTGGTGTCAACCGGAGTGAAAAATATGTGGAATGCATCAACGTCACGATGAATCAAGACCCATACTTTGAGTATATACTCATTCAATTCCTTATTTAACTCGTACACATTTTTATACCTATAACCTGGACATTTTAGCAGAGGATCATTCCCGGGTTTAAAATTTACTTACTATTCACGAAGTAATAAAACAGCAAGATATAAATGTTGTTCTGTTTTTCCAGAGGCAGTATCGCAATGACCAAATATTATGACATTAATTATATCATCAACTAACCCAGGCACATATTGATATTTTTTTGGCGAGTGAAAGTCGAATATATGTACTGCACATGTATCTTACAAGAAATAAGCGCAAGGGGATTCAACTATAAGTATTCAAATGTAACATTTTATACATGAATTATGAAAACAATCGAATTATGCAAACGGGTTTTACAGAGCAAATACAGAGCAAAGCGATAGAAAATCCATCTAGTAGGGACCAATCGGCTAATTAATATGGTACCACAATGGTGTCTAATTCAGATAAATACAGAGGTCTTATATATCTTTTCTCACTGACGGATCACCTGACAATAAAAATAAATTATGAATATATCATAATTAATTACTATTATTATTTTGTGTCTGTTGCTTGTAAATAGAATATTAATTATTTATAGGGATACAAGTCTACCTGTTTGTGTTGGTGAACGTAAATAATAATCGATCTTATTAATTGGTCACACCTTGATCATACGTACCGAACACACAATCAATTATGTCGTGTTTTCTAGTGTAAGTACAAATGTCCTGACAGGTTTGGCAACAGGCAGGTCATTCCCATTCATTATCATTGATTAAAGTTGCCTCCCCTCGTTATCTCTTAATTATATAATCAAACAATAATCGATCTTATTTTTTTCATTATGCAGTGACCCTGATGTGCATAACATAAAATGTTCCGTAAACAAACCACTTTGTCATATTTTCCAGTTATACATGTTTTCATAACAGGTAGGTATTTTTCCATTCATTATCATTGACTGGAGTTACCTCCCTTCATTATCATTTTTGAAAAATAATCGATCATATTTTTTTGCGCAATGGTTATATTTGATGTGCATAATATATAAATTGCGTTTTATATTCCAATAAACATGATCAATATTCAAAAGAGATCGTGTCCGGTCATTACAGTAATACTGACACTACGAGCATCTTTGTGGGCGAGTTGAAAGAAAAGCGTGATGTCATTTAAAATATATGTTCACTACGCGTGCGCACTGAAAAGGCATTTGCGTTCGATCTTGCACTAAATGACTCTTGAAGTACACATTGTTTTGCTTCTTTCGTCAGAAATGACGTTCAACAAATACATGCCGCTGACATATGTTACTGCTGCTGGTAGTTTTCGGTATTTGAACGGCATGTACATATGAACAATGTAATGTACTAAACCTCATTATTTTCTTCTGTTGAGGACAAACAATTGATTATCACAGTATAACGATGCCCTCAACATTAAACGTGAATAGATAAAAAATGATTAAATCTTTCCATCCACTGGCAAAAACAATCCACGAGAAAGGTGCTAAAATAAGAAGATCTCAAAAATAAGTACGTTTACAGTATCTCTGCGTACTTCTATGAATCATGGACGAGACATCATCTTCAGAACTGCACACGAAACCACTATCAGTCTGTGATATGAGAGAAGAAATGAAGTATGCAGTTCCCTATACATATATGTAAAACCAGTTTCTCGATGTCCTGGTAATCCCAATACAATGTTTTGTTTATATTCGCGACAAATAAGCCATGCACATTGGTCGACAACTCAGAATATAGGTAAGTACATTGTATATATGTGTGTGTGTGAATAATGTACAGGTAGAACAATCGAAACGTGTTAAATAAGCATTGGAACCCATGTTTGATATACAGCACCTGGACATCTTATAGAGGGTGAGGACTAGGGTCAATACCGAAAGTACGACGAAGTCAACAGACGGCAGTTACATCATTAATGTACCAGGCAGTGCATGTAAACATGTTTATTTAGAGGAGATTCTTCAACTATCTCCGATGAATTGTCAACCGTTTAAACTAACGTATAGTACAGTATGACATATATAGCGTCAACCTTCACCTTAATCAGGAAAGACTAAGTCACAACCTTCAGATGTAGTATATACAGTATACAGAAGTAAAGGTAAACACGACATTTGTATGATTACATCTGAAAGTACAGTCAAAGTACAAGTTAAGAAACTTTAGAAGTCTAAAAATATAACTCGTTTGTTAAGAAGAAAGTCGTGTACACTTTAGATCGTCACGTTGGTCAATAGAGTACTCTGATGTTCTGGTAAGGCGTTTATAGAATCGTTCTCGTTGTTTAATCTTGATCAGGTCATAACGCAAGTTGAAATTAAACCACTTTATATGTCGACATACACGCAAACAAAACGGACGATTTCAAAGAGAAAATTGCTTTCTAAATGTTATACAATACTCCTAAATATAAAAGGAAACCTGGGCTCTCCGTACTTACTTACATGTATGCTATGTGTACTTAGAAAAATTATTAAGAACCCAGTCTTTTAAAATATACTGTACAATAATGTTTTGTGGAGCAAAAATTGAATAATTAGTTTGTGCACATCGAAAACATGTCAATGCATTGCATATGTGCACGATTTTACCTACAATATATCGAAGACACTATTGCAGCTAAGTAAAGACTCTATTGCTCATGACTAACGACATTTACTGTTACTCTGACTTTAAGACATCTTGTAATGCTGCAGACTAAGGTAATTAAGAATTTCTATTGAGTTAAGACACTCAGTACTGCTACTGACTAAAGAAATGTTATTTTGCTACTGGTTAAAGACATCCACTGTTGCTAATGACGTAAGAGTTTCAGTATTTGTACTGACTAAAGACAACAGTGTTGCTACTGACTAAGGAACTTAAGTGTTTCTACTGACTAAGGACATTCAATATTGTTGCTGACTAAGGACTCTCAGGGTTGCTGCTGACTAAAGACATTAGGAAATTGCTGCTGACTAAAGACACTCAGTATTGCGGTTCATTAAAGACAATCAGTATTGCTGCTGAATAAAGACACTCAGTATCGGTACTCACTAAAACCATTCAGTATTGCTGCTCACTAAAACCATTCAGTATTGCTGCGGACTAAAGACACTCAGTATTGCTGCTGACTAAAGAATCTCAGTATTGCTGCTGACTGAAGAATCTCAGTATTGCTGCTGACTAAAGACACTCAGTATTGCTACTAAATAAAACCATTCAGTATTGATGCTGACTAAATACACTCAGTATTGCTGCTGACTAAATACACTCAGGATTGCTGCCGACTAAAGACATTCAGTATTGCTACTGACTAAAGACTCTGTGTATTGCGGCTGACTTAAGAATCTCAGTATTGCTGCTGACTTAAGAATCTCAGTATTGCTGCTGACTTAAGAATCTCAGTATTGCTGCTGACTTAAGAATCTCAGTATTGCTGCTGACTTAAGAATCTCAGTATTGCTGCTGACTTAAGAATCTCAGTATTGCTGCTGACTTAAGAATCTCAGTATTGCTGCTGACTTAAGAATCTCAGTATTGCTGCTGACTTAAGAATCTCAGTATTGCTGCTGACTTAAGAATCTCAGTATTGCTGCTGATTTAAGAATCTCAGTATTGCTGCTGACTAACGAAATCAAGGATTTGAGAATTGCAGATTCTTTTTCCTCACCTAAATGTTACAGTAAGGTAACAATGCTAGATATCACGATACGACAGAATCGTTTCGCTGTATACAGCTGTAATATTGGGTATCTGTCTACATGTGTCTTAACAAATTAAACACCTGGGAAAACACGGTATGTACTATTGTCTGGTGACAGGCGACCCTGCCAGTATACGTTTGGCCTGTCACAAATATATGTTGGATGCATTTAATGGGTATCAAGTGCCACAAGTACACTGTAGACTATACTCGAAGTAGAATCACACCAAGCCTCGCCAACTTACTTTTATATAAAAGGTAACTTTTGTATAAGTTATCTGATCCTTATGATCAAAAATAAAATCGACACGATGGCCTTCAGGGATTCAAATGGAAACATTCGAATGATATTAACAAAGAATACCCAATAATTTTTAAAGACAGTTCCAAAAATTAAATGCAAAATAAAAAAAAAGTGTCATTTAAGTTGATCAAGCTTGAAGTAAGCAAGCCATGTGCAGTTAAAATGGACGACATTACAGCTTTAATGTTAATCTGAACACGCACGGCTCAGAAAACCCTGAATTGTATACGGGGACGAAATAGACCCGGTGTAGTTTTATACACCACAATGATTGTGGACTTAGCGATTTATCAGATAGCGACTTCTGAAAAGGGTATAACTTGTAAACATGATCATACAGATTTTACGCTTTAGTGATCCAGGTGAGAAGGCGGAGCGTGGGCATGTTAGAGTGGTTATTTAGAATGTCAATCATTGTGTGTACCTTTATGTAAACTTACCTGGAACCGTAAGTTTTACCCTGTTATGATAACGACCAATTACGAACAGGTAGCTACTACAGGTAAGCACTGTGTCATAATCCAGTTGTACTATTTAAGTCAGGTGGGCTGTAGTAAAGATTTAGAATTACACCTGTATACGCAATAGAACGGTTGGATAAAGTTTAACTCTTACAGACCCGGCGGCTTATAAACGGGTATACTACCCTTGATATCAGAGACAGCAGGAGAGGATCATTCACTTCAATCTACTTCTTTCTAGTATTAACTAAGTTGTCAACTAAGAGGTCATTTATGACAATGGTCAAGACTTCTGGACAAGCGATGGAGGAACAGGACCATTACTACGCTTCTATCGACTTTTCAAACGCATGTCGTGAATTTTACATGGACAGACAGCGAGTGACAAAAAGTTTCAAGGAAGAAATGGGGAAACAAAAGACAGAGGAAAAAAAGGACAAGCCAAAGTGTTTTATGGATTCAGCAATGGATAAATTAAGACGAGAGATGGTAAGTTCTTGTAATTTCTCTTATAAACCAATCACTCCATTTTTCTCATAAGTTCAACTTAAATTGTTTTCACAAAATGAAATTTAAAACACTAGATTGATATTGCTTGGGAAAACAGTATAATACCGTTAACACTTGTGTTTACTCGCAGTAAGCTTTAACATTTTCTTCTGTTTATATTAATGTCAATTCTCTATTTCTTTCTAGGCTGGACTTATGGACCAGGATTTGTCTCTGATGAAACAGCTATTGACTCTTAACGAAACAATAGAGGAAATCAAATTCAAACGACGTCATGGGGGTGCCAAGGACCTAGGTGCCAGCTCGTGTGAAATCAGCGATATTTCAACCACACACGTGTCCTCTTCAATATCACTACCAGGCATCGTTATCTCAAAGTGTGATTCGAACACTACCACAGACTTTTCCGCGCCCCAGCCTCAGCACCCAGTTAATTCTAGTCTCTTACACGCCAACTGGAAATCATGTGACTTGAGTGCCCAGTATGGTCAAGTTTTCGCGAGTGACTCCGGATATGACGAAACCTATTCCACGGAAGAGTCTGGTTCGGATGAGGAAACAACAGTTTGATAGCCTTAGCAAAGCACATCGTATCATTTCATGTCATATGGGAAATTGATATATCATATTATATCTTTCTCAAACCAGCATCACCTCTGCAATAATGCTATGAACTATAGCTACGAACTGCCAAAACCGCTACAGGATTCGTCGGATGTATTCGTGTGGATATATCGGTTTGTGAGTGTTATCGAATATGGGAAAAAACAGTTAGAATGACCATCGACCAGCAGTGGGGTATCTGGACAAACCTGCACTGACCAGCGGTAATTAGTGACCGGAGACGTGTCAGACGAAAGCTTGACCATCAGACGCTAATGTCGACGACACTGAGCGAATTACGCCGTCATTGAATGGTAAGTTAATACTTTCATAATGAAGTGTTAAAGATTAAACACTTAACAAAAGTGACGATGTGTGCTTTTGCACTGATTAACGGATTAAACTGTCTCTAAGTAGAATAATTATGGTAGATAGACCTATGTTACAACATTCCCCGGGGTCAGCATTGTGATTAATTCGGTAATTATTGTCGATTTCGAGTTTTTGATGGTTGTAACATGTATATGAAGCATGTCCTTACTTATATTTCATATTGTATTTTTCAGAAAGTACAGAAAACTGACGAGAACCGAAACCAGTCTAAGCTGATGGAAACCACGTGAAAACGGGATTTAGGCCAGCACGAGAAGCAGAGTAGACATTAGTACGGGAATGAAGTGACCAATCACTACACATCTGCCGGTTACAGTCGTTCCCTGATTGGACGAATACACTTTTGCCACTGGAACAAAATTGTGTCATCAATTCGACTGGAGATACCAGTTTTATTACGCCGTAGAAATCCAACTGCAATGACACTGACACTTCAAAACTTGAATGCAACAAATGAATGAACAAGAACTGTGACTTTTACCGTGAAGCCGGATAATTTAGAAAGTTTACGTGATCAAATACTCGTAGCAATCCTGCCAAAATAATTCATTTGAAGTGCGCAGTACATTTTCATTTTGTTTAAATAGTATGTTATTATATACAATGTTATACAATCTAGTCTGTTTTATAAAGTATTAAATTTTAATACATAATTCGAATAATGTTGTTGTTTTACTTCGTATATATCAGATTCTTTTGCAAAGCTGATGACATACACAATCGCTATACCGGACGATATTTCACACACCTGTGAATACAGCGAGAAATACCTCTAAAGGTTATACTTTACCTGCTATAGATGTTGACTTAAATAAGATCTGAAAATAGGACACAAAACTTCGTTATCTCGAAGTGACTCTTCATTAGTAAAAGTGAGCCGACGTACTGTACTTGAGGAATCGGAAACCTCCGGCACTTTCCGTAAATAAGGAAGTGCCGCCGGTGTCCAATGAGTACTATAGTAAACGGAATGGAGCGTTAACCCAAACACACAGCTGACTTAGATCGATCCAGATGAAGATTACTAGAAATAAAAAGATTAACTACAGACCAATCGATCTGACTTCAACTTAAACATTATGTTTCAATTTTCAATGTGATATTTCATATTGACTTTGTAAGTGTCCCTAACCACAATGTTTAAGAACGGGGATCAGCGTAGATGAACTGGGCCCTGTTCGTTTATGCGGAACAACCGGTTTGTCTGTTTTTAAATGTAACAATTTTGGGTATTAATCCTGGTGCACCTGTAAATATTTATGCAGGACGTGCAAGGCTTTGTCAAGACTCGCATGAAAGCAGCATCAGATTACTAGGTCCGACATTATTCAATAAACGAAAAACTTGGGTCCGACCGGTTGAACCGTTTAAACGAAAACGGCCCCTCACACCCATGTGATTGAAAATTGGTAATTGAAACAGTATACCAAAAATAAATGACACTGCATCATACTGCTGTTTCGTCCTTCTAGTACTCACCGGCGATGCTAGCTAGGGGTAAAAATAGTTCGGAAATCCAAATCGTCTAAACTAGTTTTGAAACAGTGGGGCAGGTGCGTAAAACATAGAAACATGCGTTTTCGTAGATAATTTGTACACATTTCAACATCCGGCATGGTCATGTTGTATACAATTAGAATCCCAACCTGTTACCCGTGTTAACCTATAGAATCTATATGAAAAGAAGACGTGCCTTAGAGACATGCCGACAAACGAATGCTAACTCACTATTTCAAGTGCATTCCAGTTGATTAAATATTTTAAGCTTGTGAACGATTTTCACATTTTTCTTCCTTTATTTTACTTTTATTCTCAAGTTGTTAGATGAAAACACATGTCATGTAAGTGCAATACAAATCTTATGTGATAAAGATGCGTATAGAAGTGTTTACGATGAATTTGACGCCTGGGCGAGGTTTCGAGTATGTGAATTACTCATGTAGATAGTTTCGAATTCGATTTACATTTCCCTGAGAAAATTGGAACATTTAAGCAATGTGAAATGAGAAGTAAAGTGATTGGTTCGGTATAACAATCATTAACTCTCAGAATCAGAAAAACATGTACAGTATCTAGTAAGACATCTAGAGCCTAACAACTAAGGGGAGACAACCGTAACTCGTTTGAACACGATAACAGGGCGTGTGCCTTGCCAAGTACTGGTAAGTTGATAGCCTCACTAAGTTTTCTTGCCACTGTTAATTAAACAACAACAGTGTGGTGTTCAAATATACTGATACAGATACCCTTCCATCACGATTTTATGGCTGTTCAAAGCCTAGCTAGCTTTTATTATTGAATACAAAAAAAAAGTGTTTTCTTCCGGGTAATGGATTTCACAACGAAAAAATCCCAAGATTATCAAATGCAGACGATTTCCTAACTTGTATTTTATATAATGGTTCTAGGACTGTGATACAAAATCCATTGTCAACTGATATAGATGCATATGCTCAAAAAGGTCTCCATACGATATATCGGGAAAACGAAACAAAGAAATTAAGTACAGAACATCTCTTTTGTATATTTTGGAATTTCCGTCTGTGTTATCTCTTCTCTTGTAACCCCATTTGTGGAACATGCGTCATATATGAATCATAACCAACTTTAAATAACTGAGATGGGATACAAAAATACCGGTGAAAGATATATTATAACTCGTCTGAGGTTGAACAATTCATATACTTATTTGATATATTGATAACAGGCAGATGGCCTATTCAGAGCACGGCAGTTAACACATTTAAGGACCATAGCTGTCCCACTGCACTGTGGATTTTCCGATAAACAATAACCCCACCCCCTTAACTTCCGCATGGATATATATACACGTAACAGTTGATCCAAGACATTCTGTTGACCAGTTGGTATATCAATCTGAACTCCAGGGTTCGAATCCTGGTCTAGAATTATTTCAATTAAGCACATTGTTGTTGTTTATATTTTGTTTATTTCGTCTTTATCATATTTCATACAAAAAAACAAACCGTAACGTATGATTTTCTTTTTAAAAATGATGTATCAAAGTTGTAGACATGCCGGGAAAAACCCAGTTTCCAACACTAAGTGACAGTATTTGGCAGTGGTACGGGGATCCTTAGGTACTGTATCAGTGTTAGGTTAACAGCCTGTAGTCAAATGTTCTTATGTTGTGAAAGGACGACCATAAGATTCCGAGAGAATAGGGAGGAGATGATAACAAATTTGAAACAACAAGAATAGTTGTTTTCGATACAAAGTAAGCCATGTTTTGTCGGTACAATCAGTGGACCTATTGTCACACAATATAATAATTTGGTGGTTTATTTGATCAATACATATACTTTCATAATATTTTTCGAATATGAAAACTTTCTGAACGTGTCAAAAACGTAGTTTATAATCTTTAAACCACGCCTCACTCTCACTTCCTGAGTATTCAGTATATCACCTGTACATTCTTATCTATATTTCGACAATATAACGTACAGTTGACAGCATATTTGTCGGTCTAAATTGGAAAAAGGCAGCTAAGCAATTAGCTTAATTTATGCTCAGAACACCATAACAAGTTTAAATTTGTTATCTAACTGCTTTAATTGTGAGGGTTATTATAAGTTAGCAACATTAATATTACAATATCATGGAACAAGACACCTTAATGGTTTCTGAAATTGTTGGAGGTTATTGATTGGCTGCTGATGACGTAAATCGGGATGCTGGCCCCTAATTGGTCAAGGTGACCTGAGGGTCGTGTCCTTTTGTTCATAAGGCAGCCATCTTGCGAATCGTTATCATCAGATCTAACTTGATATTTAAAACCCACCCACTTCCGACCCTCTGTTTTTGTGGTCAATACAAAATTGACATTTTTTGTGATGTAAGCATCAATAAGGCTAGCTAAGATGGCGTTTGCAATTTTGGTGGCAACTCCACTATCTAAGGTTTTTAGTTATTTTTTATTTTATTTTTTATTTTAACATGTATAATTTGTAACCTGGCAGTTATTTTTTGATTGTAACATGTATAATTTTTAACCTGGCAGGTTGTTGCTAGTTTGTGTTAAAGTGAGACAACACTTGCCGACTGGTCAGAGCATTGGGTAAACCTACCTCCCCTAATTAACAGGGTTGGGGCAGCCGGCTCGCAGTATATAATGTAAAGATGGGTTTGGCAACCTCGGGCGTTTTTTGGCAACCCCACTTAGGCTAGCTAAGGTTTTTAGTTATATTTTGATTGTAGTTGCTACCATGTTTAGTATATTTGCAACCACTTTGTATGATCTTAAGTTTTTGATGGAAGCCACATGGTGGCTTAATCAGTATAATAAATATAATGTCACCCTTCGGGTGGCCATTTCACTCACATTTGTTGTTTGAGTTATTCTTGTTATGGGTGGAGAGGCATAAATACAAATATCACAAAAGCAAGTTTTTTAAAATTTATTTTTTTATTTTTGGACAAGAATTAATATCTTCAAATTCTTACAAACACCAGCACTCTCTCAGAATCAAACGGTTGTCTTGAAAACTTCAGCTATCCGTCACAAATCCGTATCGGCATAGCCGTAATAGGTCTTGGTAACGAGACGCAGTTACCCAGGTATTACCTACACACGTAAAGAAGCAAGGTTTGTTGTGCAGACTATGAAACATCCGACAGACGCACGGAGTGTTCTTTATTACTTGACGTGTTTTTGAAATTAAACTGTCAATCACAAGTGTTATCGATGGCGGTTTTTATTCACAATAATTCTGTTTGTTTCGAAAAGTTATGTGCTCTTCAAATGCCATCGGGTAAGGTGTTTAAATACTTGTCACTAAACAAAAACAAATTCCGGTTTTACACCTCGGCGAACTGAAGATAGGAGTGCGGTTCATAAGGTTATGACACTTGCACCAGTGAACCGGAAGTGCTGATATGAAACCATGACTTCAATTTTATTAAAGCTGGTGGACCTTTATAAGTTATAAAAAAATAGCTCATTCCATTCATGAGTTTCACTCCTCTATACAAATACGTTACACTGACCGAAAAATGACATACATGTAAATACATACATGTAGCATTACTGAACTTCGTGTAAAGCAGAAGAACATTGACTTATATGTAATTACATACATGTAGCATTACTGAACTTCGTGTTAAGCAGAAGAACATTGACATATATGTAATTACATACATGTAGCATTACTGAACTTCGTGTAAAGCAAAAGAACATTGACATATATGTAACTACATACATGTAACATTACTGAACTTCGTGTAAAGCAGAAGAACATTGACATACATGTAACTACATACATGTAGCATTACTGAACTTCGTGTTAAGCAGAAGAACATTGACATATATGTAATTACATAGATGTAGCATTACTGAACTTCGTGTAAAGCAAAAGAACATTGTCATATATGTAACTACATACATGTAACATTACTGAACTTCGTGTAAAGCAGAAGAACCTTGACATACATGTTACTACATCCATGTAACATTACTGAACTTCGTGTAAAGCAGAAGAACCTTGACATACATGTTACTACATGCATGTAACATTACTGAACTTCGTGTAAAGCAGAAGAACATTGACATACATGTAACTACATACATGTAGCATTACTGAACTTCGTATAAAGAAGTAGAACATTGACATACATGTAATTACATACATGTAGCATT